CTGCGGTGGCCGGGAGTGGCCACTGCACTCCAGTCGGGGCGACAGAGTGAGGCTCCAACTCAAAAACATAAAAAGGATCCAAGCACTATCCAAACAGAACGGCTGATCTGAAAAGGAATCAAAAAACTTTGAGCAGCTGAAAATGAGGTCACTGACAAGACCCAATACTTTTTTTTTAACACAGGGTCTTGCTCTGTCACCCAGTCTGGTGTGCCGTGGCATAATCCTAACTCACCAAAGCCTCAACCTCCTGGGCTCACACAATCTTTCTGCCTCAGCCTATAGAGTAGCTAGAAATATAGGCATGTGCTGCCAATAAATAATAAAGACCAAAAACAAAGACTTAATAGCTACAGGGTGGATAAGCCATAGCTGAAGAGAGACCTAGAAAAAAGGAGCGCAGAGCTGCAGAAGTTACCCAGCAGGCAGCACGGAGGTCAGGCTGTTGGGCCAGAGATTGAACGTGGAAGAGGACAAAGAAGTTCTAACAGACCCCGGAAGCTTCCAGGAGAGGCTGCCGGAGAAAACAGCTTCGGCTTTTCCAGACTTGCTGACACCGGGACCCTGGGACGCAGGGAGCAGGGCAACAAGGGGCGGGGCCAGGCAGTCCTGGAGAACAGAGCCGTTTATTGAACGAAGCCTCACTCCTGGAGGGAGAAGTGCATCTTGTCATTGATCGTCTTGCGCTCGGGGTTGAGGCGCTTGAGGATCTGGGCCAGCACGTTCACAGTCTGCTCGCTGCTCAGCCCCGTCTTCTTGGTCTGGAACTTTTTCAGCAGGTCCTTGGTGGTCATAGGCTTTCGCGTCAGGTAGCGGCGCACGGCGTCCTCGGTCACCTGCACGTCGCTGCTGAGTAGGGGGCAGGGGAGGGGGTGTCAGCGAGGCTCTCCCATGAGGCCCTTGCCCGCCCCGACGACGCCACCGACTTACCCACTGCTGGGCGTGGACTTGCCCGAGGGTGGCTGTGGGGCGGACTTCCCGGACAGGCTCTGGGGCCCAGCCTCCAGCCGCAAGCGCTTGGCTGCCGGCGTCTCGCTCGTCCGCTTCCCTGTGGGGACGGGGTCAGGACTGGGTCTTGGGGTGGAAGGCTGAGCCCTGGGCGGCCCCCGCCAGGCAGTGCCAGGGTTAGGGCGCCAGGGGCTCAGGGAGGGAGGGTCTCCACCCTGGCTCGTCCATGCCCTCTCAGCTCCAAGGGCAGAGGTGGGAGGCTGCGGCTGGGGGTGGGGCCGGGGGTGGGGCCGTGCGTGGGGCCGTGCGGCACTCACCCTGCTCGAGCTTGCTGGCGGCAGCCCTCAGGGTGGAGGAGGTGCTGCCGCCCTCTGTGCTGGGCGTGCCCGGGCGGCTGTTGCCCCGCGAGCTGCCTCCCGACAGCTTCCGCTCCCTCTTGGGGGGCGTCTTCTTTTTCTGTGGGGTTGGGACGGGACTGGGAATGAGTCTGGAAACAAGAGGCCGGGCCGTACCCCTCACCACGGGCTGGGCCTTACCGCCATGAAGAGGGCCGAAGAGGCCTCACTGTCTATGTCGCTCTCCTCGGAGCTGTCTGACTCGTCACTGCTGTCTGCAGGGACACAAGCCAGGCGGGGGTGAGGCCCACAGCGGCCCGGGACCCCTGCGTCCACCCTTGCCCGCACCGCCGAAGAGGGAGGCCAGGAGGGGCTGGGCGACGGGCTGCCGGGGCCCCACCTTTTCTGCGCTTCTTCTCCTGAGGGGTGGGCGCCTTCTTCTCCTCCTCCTCCTCCTTCTCTTCCTCGGGCGGCTTCTCCTCCTCACTCTGCTCGCTGCTGTCACTCTGCTCGTCGACACCTGGAGGGGCGGGGGTGTGAGCCGTGGGAGGACCGGCCCCAGCCTGGCCCCACTGGCCGCCGCCTACCTCTGGGCCCCTCCTCGGGCAGCGGCACCTTGGGCTTGCCCTCCAGCTCGTCCTGGGAGCTGCTGTAAGACAGAGAGCAGGCGGAGGGGGAGCGCGCGTGCGCGGGCCGGCCGGGCTCACACCCGCCTCCCGCCTGCCTCACCTGGAGCCATCCGACATGTAGTCCACCTCCTGGCCCTCAAAGTCCCCGTCATCACTGTCCTCGAAGGCCTCGTCGTCCGAGCCCTTCTTCTTCTTCTTCTTCCTGCCCGCCTTGGCCGGGGGCGCCTTCCTCTTGGTCTTGGGGGCTCTGCTGCCTGGGGATGGGACAGGAGGAGGGCTCAGGCACCCCTTTGTCGCAGCTCGTGCATTTCTTGATGGTGTGACATCCTGGGGCCTCGCTGACGGGGAGATGCCCCTCCAGGGCCGCGCCAGGCCCGGAAGGCTAAGGGCTGGCCCGGAGCTGCCTCTCCTGAGCAAACCAGCAGGGGGAGCCGAGCCCCCACCCCTTCCCTAACACTCACACGCCAAGCCAGCACCCAGGCCAGGGACAGCTCTGCATACCAGAGCCCACCCTAGCGTGGAACCTTGAACAAAGGCCAGGGCTTCCGCCTCCCGCTCCTGCCCCGCCTCCTGGTCAATACCAGCACTGCATCTCCTGGCGCCCAAGCGCCCTCGGGTCGACTGTCAACGCCCCTTCAACGGCAGGACCTGACCGGCCGCCTCCACCACCTGGGCCCAGGTACCAAGCGCCGCCCGCCCTGGGCCGTGCCGCCTCACCCTCCTCGCCGCTGGCGTCGCTGTCATCAGACGACATCTCCAGATCATCCTCCAAGTCATGGATGCGCAGCTCGCTGGCCTTCTTGCGGCCTCGCTTCTCCTTCTCCTCCTCGTCCTCGTCCTGGTCCTGGTCCTTGAGCCGCCGCTGCTGCATGATGCTGAAGTGGTTCAGCACCTTGTTCCTCCTGCGGGTCGGGCACACGCCACCTCAGAGGGGCCCCACGCCCACGGACACGGGACACTTTCCCCGCCGCCCTCCCTGCCCCACCCGAGGCCCTCGAGGGGACGGTGTGGCTTCGTGGTGCCGGCGTCTTGGCGCCTCTCCCGGTCTGACCCGGCATGTTCACGGTGGTCTCCTGTCAGCGGAATTTACAGGAGCTGCTTCTTCCGTGACGTTTCCACCGAAACAGCATTAACACTGTCCCACTGCTCGCGTAAGTTTTAAAACAACGAGACTGCATTTAATGAGAAGTGTTAGGCTTGCATCTAACAGTAGGGCAAGATTCTCGGGGGCTGTGAAAAGGAATGACATTGTCGTGTAACCCTGTGAACATACTGGTCATGACTCAACTGTAAAACATGGTGGAGACGATACATTTTACATGTTTTTCACAATTACTGCTTTTTTAAAATTATTTTTTAAAAAAGAATGAAGTGCTGACACTTATTATAGCACCGACGAACCTTGAAGACATTATGCTCAATGAAATAAGCCACACATAAAAGGACGAACAGGCTGGGTGCTATGGCTAACATGAGATGAGAAGATTGCTTGAGCCCGGGAATTTGAGACCGGCCTGGGCAACATAGCAAGACCTTATCTCTTAGTTGGGTGTGGTGGCCCGCACCTGTAGTCCCATTATTCAGAAAGCTGAGGCGGGTCAAGGCTGTGGTGACCCATGAAGGTGCCGCTGCACTCCAGCCTAGGCAACAGAGACACCAACTTAAAAAAATTAAAAATTAGCAGGGCTCGGTGGCTCAGCCTGTAATCCCATGTCTTTGGGAGGCTGAGGTGAGTGGATTGCCTGAGCCCGCGGGTTCGAGACCCGCCTGGGCAGCGAGACCTCATCTCTACAATAAATCAAAAAATCAGCCGGGCGTGGTAGTGCATGCCTGTAATTCCGGCTACTTGGAAGGCTGAGGCGGAAGGATCGCCAGAGCCCAGCAGGCAAGGCTGCGGTGGCCAAGAGCGGTCACTGCACTCCAGTCTGTGCGACCAAGTGAGACTCCAACTCAAAAATAAAAAGAAATTAAAAATTAGCCAGGCATGGTGGCACACACCTGTAGTCCAAGATACTTAAGAAGCCAACGCATGAGGATCACTTGAGCCCAGGAGGTCAAGGCTGCAGTGAGCTATGATTGCACCACTGCACTCGAGCCTGGGCGGCAGAGTGGGACCCTATCTTGGGGGAAAAAAAGGGAAAACCAATACTCTATGATTCCAGAGACAGAGAGCAGCATGATGGGTGCCAGGGGCTGGGGAGGGGACAGAGAGGGAGTGTTTCATGGGGACAGAGCTTCAGTTTGGGAAAAGGAGAAAGTTCTGGAGATGATGGTGATGATTGTTGCACAACCACGTGAATGTGTTTCATCCTACTAACTGTGCACTTAAAATGGTCAGAAGATGATAAATTTTATGTGATTTTGCCACAACGAAAAGGGTTTTTCCAAAAACGAAAAAGCACAAGTTGTGACCAAATGGCTGGTGGAGACGTTCTCTTCCCACCAGAAACACCGAACGTGGCATGAAGGCACAGGCCCCAGCCCTACCGCGCCGGGGCTAAACAGTCTTATCTAAGTAGATTCCACATCTGCTCAAAAGACGGCATTTCTCCCCAATTGAATGTCCAGATTTCACAGGATTCTATAAGACGCCATGTTTTTCTCAGTGCAGCGGGCGCCAGTGCTCCCAGAACCATGGATGGATGAATCACACAGCGGAGCTGCAGGGCCCTGCCAGGCGGCACCAGCGTGGGGAGACGCCGCAGGCTCGGGGCTCAAAAGTCCAAGCGAGGAGGGCGCTCCCCACCCCACGCCTCTTACTGGGGTTGCTTTGGGAGCTGAGCCAACCTGTGACTCACTCAAAAATGTAAAAACTAAAGAAAAGGATTAAGCAAAGGGGGAAAAAGGTGTTTGTGACCTTTCGGGAGCCAAGAAATCCTTGGGCATCTGCTTATCTGTGATACGAGCAAACGCGAGAGGGTCCCATCCTCAGCCGGGCATTCAAGGCCCAGGACTCTGGGCCCCGCCTCAGGCCGCTCCTCACAGTCCCTCTGCCCCAGCCTTGTGTGCCATGTACCTCCGGCCACGTGCCTCTAACTACACCTACCCCACCTCTGAGGCCCTCGTCGGAGGGCGCCCCAGGACCCCTGCCCAGGGCTGCAGTCCTGCTGCAGATCCGGCGAGCAACCTCCAGCCTGGGGGAGGCGAGGGGCAGTCAGAGCCCACCTGCACCCCGACACGTGGTCTGGGCTGACTCTGTTGTGGCCCCGAGGTCTCACATCAGTCTCACGCTGGAGACAGTGACGCTCTGGGCCAGCAGCGTGGGGCCTGCCCCGGTCACCACCATGGCCCCAGCTCCAGCCAAGGACCTGCCAGCCACTCACCTCTCCCACTCTTCCTCCGCCTCCTCAGCGGTGAGCGTGCGGTGCCGGGCCAGCGGCGTGAAGTTGTACCAGTTGTGCACGGGGAAGGCCTCGAAGGCCCCGTCGGGGCACTGGGTGAAGATGTAGTAGGAGGTGTTCTCGGTCACGCCGCCTTTCTTGATGCCCTTGAACCTGCAGGGAGTCATGGTCACGGCCCGGCCCCCGGGTCCGGCCTCCTCTGCGACACCAGCCCAGGTCCTCCCAGGAAGCCCGTGACCACGAGGCCCTGGGCAGGCCTTTCGACCGCCTGGGCTGTGACGTCCACGTTGGGGGAGCGGGGCCGGCGCTCCTGCCCTGCTGGGTGCTGGGCGTACCATGCCTATCACGATCACTTTCTGGAAGGACCGTGCAAGCCGCGTGAGGGACCAGAACGGGGCAGGAGTGGACACCTGAAGTGGACACCCGGCCTGGGCCACCCGAGCAACTGCCCAGCCTCCACCAGGCCTCCAGCGATCCCTCTTCCACCCCAGCACCTGTCCAGGTACTTGCTCCAAATGCCCCTTCCTGCTTACAGCCTTCCCAGGCGCCCTGGCCCTGGGTCCAGCCCCCTCTGGGCACCCGCGGCGCTGCGCCAGCCGGCCCTCGTCTGTCACGAGCTCCAGCCGCTCTGCATAGAGCGCCCCTACAGCCTCGTCTTCACCACTCCGGCTCTGCCCACTGCTGCCCTCTCCAGGTGGTCTGAAGCACCACGACCCTCCCAGGGCCAGCCACCTGGGCCCCCCTGCACTGTGGCATTCAGGCACAAGCACCCCTCGGTTCATCCTCAAAAATAAAACCCTAGGCTGGATGCGGTGGCTCACGCCTGTCATTCCAGCACTTTGGGAGGCCGAGGTGGGAGGATTGCTTGAGCCCAGAAGTTCAAGACCAGCCTGGGCAACATAGCGAGACCTCATCTCTACAAAAAAATTTAAAAATCAACCTGGCAGGGTGGCACCTCTAGTTCTAGCTACTAAGAAAGATGAGGCAGACAGATCACCTGAGCCTGGGAGGTTGAGGCTGCGGTGAGCTGGTAATCGTGCCACTGCACTCCAGCCTGGGTGACAGAGTGAGACCCTAACTCAAATAAATAAGCAAATAGATAAACAAATAAACAAACCTCTGCATGGGCAGAAGTGCTGGCACCCCAGTGGGTGGATCCCCAGACTGCCCACCCCCCGCCCACCACAGCCACTTACTTCCGGCCCGATTTGCCATTGACCCGGAGCAGCCAGGGCTGGTCCTCGGGCCGGAACTCCTTGAGGACGATACCGTACTTCTTCCTCCGCGCCTCCTCTCGAAGTTTGCGGTTGTACTCGCTGCCTGCGCCGGATTCGGGCAGCTCCTCCTCTTGGTAGATTTTCTTGTTGCTCAAGTCCCGCTCCAGCCGAGCCTGGGGGAGCAGGAAGACACACCTCTTGGGGTCCCTGCCTTGGTTGCGGGCCAGGGACGCCCTTTACTCTCCTTAAGCAGAGTTCCAGACGGTCAAAGCCAACTTTCCACTCAACAAAAACAGCAGAATGCCACTCCTTGGTGAATCTGGGTAAAGTAAGCTTTGCACTGTGTCCATTCTTGCAACATTTTTTTTTTTGAGTCGGGGTCTCACTCTGTCACCCAGGTAGGAGTGCAGTGGCATGATCACAGCTCACCACAGCCACAACTATCTGGGCTCAAGTGATCCTCCCACCTCGGCCTTCCAAAGTGCTAGGATTACAGGCGTGAGTCACTATGCCTGGTCTTTTTTTGCAACTTTTGGAAAGTTTCGTATTTCCAAATTACAAATTTTAAAAAACAGCTGGGCACGGTGCACAGACTGGCCAGGTGTGGTGGCTCACACCTGTAATCCCAGCAATTGGGGAGGCTGAGGCGAGAGGATCGCTTGGGTCCAAGGTTTGAGACAAGCCTGGACAATGCAGCGAGATCCCCCATCTCTGCAAAAAAACTGTAAAACCATCTGGGTGTGTTTTTTTTTTTTTTTGAGTCAGAGTCTCACTCTGTCACCCAGAGTAGAGTGCAGTGGCACACTCCTGGCCACTGCAGCCTCGACCTGCTGGGCTCCGGTGATCCTTCTGCCTCAGCCTTGCAAGTAGCTGGGACTTCAGGTGTGCGTCACCATGCCCAGCTAATTTTTTTGATTTATTGTAGAGATGAGGTCTTGCCAAGTTGCCCAGGCAGGTCTCGAACCCACAGGCTCAGGCAATTCACTCACCTCGGCCTCCCAAAGCATGGGATTACAGGCTGAGCCACCGAGCCCGGCCTGGATGTGTTTTAAACCACCATATAACTCAGTTGTGAGGCCGGAGCTCTATGGACTGAGTTTGTGTGCCCCTAAAATTCATGGATGGAGAAATCTAACCCCCAATATGACCCTAAGCCTCTCTGGATAACAGGATAGGCCAGGGGCTGGAGGAGAGGGTGCAAGTGTGTCTGTGTATGAATGTGTAGCGAGAGGTTCTAGAGGGCAGAACTGCAAGCTTTCAAACAAATGGTGGCCCTCCACCCAGGAAATGTGCCCTGAGCAAGTCCCCACCTGCCCAGTGACCACATGGACAGTCTGTTATCACCCCTCTCTCAAATACAGTCTCATCAGCTCGCCCGTTTGCGGGGTGTCACTCTGTCACCCAAGCAGAAGTACAGTGGCACAATCACAGCTCACTGCAGCCTTGACCTCCTGGGCTCAGGTGATCCTTCCACCTCAGCCTCCCAAGTAGTAGGGCTAGACAGATGTGCACCATCACACCCAGCTACAACATCTCCTGTTGATGTCTATTGAGCAACTGAAACAGAAGATGTCCCAAAGGTGGGCAGGGTGACTCTCGCCTATAATCCCAGCACTTTGGGAGGCAGAGGCAACAGGATTGCCTGAGCCTACGGGTTTGAGACCTGCCTTGGCAACTAGGCGAGATCTCATCTCTACAATAATTCAAAAAACCAGCCAGGTGTGGTGATGCATGCCTATAGTTCCAGCTACTTGAAGGCTGAGGTGGAAGGATCACATGAGCCCAGCAGGTTGAGGCTGCAGTGGCCGTGAGTGTATCACTGCACTCCAGTTGGGCGACAGAGTGACACTGCGACTCAAAAAAAAAAAAATGTCCACAAGTGAAGTCTCAAACATTCCACCCAAACAGCACCTTCTCCAGCTCCTGTTAAGTAAATGGAACGGTCTGTAATTCTCTCTCCCTCCTCCTTCAGTATCTAATCGGTCAATAGACCCTGGTGGCTCCACTTCCAAAAATACTCTAGAATCCAACCATGAGTCAGGTGCAGTGGCTCACACCTGTCATCCCAGCATTTTGGGAGGCTGAGGTGGAAGGATCACCTGAGCCCAGGAGCTCGAGACTAGCCTGGGCAACAAAGTGAGACCTGATCTCTACAAAATTAATTAAAAAATAGAGTCCAGTCATGCCCCATGATGTCCATCAGTGGGCTTAACTTCCAAATGTTCTCTTTTAAGGAGAAGGCCTCACGAGGCCTGCCAAATCTTACTTACAGGGACACCCAGTAGCTCAACCTAGACCTTTCTTCATCATCTTTTTTCTTTATTTTAAGAGACAGCCTCTTGCTCTGTCACCCAGGCTGAAGTGCAGTGGCATGATCATAGCTCACCGCAGCCTCAAACTCCTGGGCTCAAGTGATCCTCCTGCCTCAGTTTCCTGAGTAGCTAGGACTACAGCCATGCACCACCACACCTGGCTAATATTTTTTTATTTTTTGTACAGATAGGGGCTCGCTATGTTGCCCAGGCTGGTCTTGAACTTCTGACCTCAAACAATCTCTTCCACTGGGAGTACAAGCAGAAGCCACTACACCCGGCCCTTCACCATCATCTTATTTCCACTTGAGGAGAAGTAGGGAAACAAAGGCTTAGTTATTATTACAGCTAAGTGACGATTACCGCCACCAAGAACAGGATCAGGTTGTCTCACCATCCCAACCCACCCCCCGCAAGACCCAGGGACTTACCTGATTCCAAGTAGCAAAGTTGACTTTATCCGCTGCATTAAAAGCCATTATGTTATACTTTTTGGTTGTGTTCCTAGAGGGGGGAGGGAGAGGCAGTGCTAATTCTGTTAATCATTCGCTCAACAAACTCACCCTGATTCAGCCCTCTGTGCTGAGCAATGCTAGGGACTCAAAAAAAGACTCCCAAGGATTCCCAGTGTGTTACAGAAGCTTGATCTGTCCTTCACTCCATGCAGAAGAGCAGGAGGAACAAAGATTTGGGGGAACCCAAGATAAGAGGGCAATTAAGAACTTGGCCCTAGAGAAGAGGGCATGCTTCCTGGAAGAGGAAAATACTGGAGCTGGGTTTTGTAGGATCCACAAGAATCCACCCAATGGATCCATCTGGGGTGGGAGTAGGCATTTCTAGCAGAGGAAAACAGTATGGACAAAGGCCAAGAGAGAAAACAAAGCCTGACCAGCTTGAAATAGAACAAAGAATGTGTCCTTTCAGGTAGAGACTGGGCATCACGGGACCACACAGGCCTCAAATGCTAGGCCAGGGGACAGAATCATGCTGTGTATTAACAAACTTATTCATTTATTTTAAAAATATTGATGCATCTCAGAGAGGCCTCAGCTTAAGCCCAGCCATGCCCTCCAAGTCGTTCTCAGTCTGGAGGGAGGCAGGCATAGTTAGCACAGCACATAGTTTAGATGCAGTTAGGCAAGTTTTCTTGGGTAGGTCTAATGTAGATCACCGAGGAACAGGGTGAGCATCATTCAGATGACTTTCTTATTGGTACACAACCTCCACCTGACCGGCTGGGCATATCAAACCTGACTACTGCAGGTTGAAACGTGAAACTGCCAGTGCAGTGCATCACAGAAACAACAGGGAATTACCCAAAATATAGACATGATGTTCTTAAAAAAAGCCCACATCTGGTTAGACAGTAATTTTCATTACTTAAAAGGTACTTAAAAGGTTGGAAGATGGCCGGGCTCGGTGGCTCAGCCTGTAATCCCGCGCCTTTGGGAGGCTGAGGTGAGTGGATTGCGGTTCGAGACCCGCCTGGGCAACTTGGTGAGACCTCATCTCTACAATAAATCAAAAAATCAGCCGGGCGTGGTAGCGCGTGCCTGTAACTCCGGCTACTCGGAAGGCTGAGGCGGAAGGATCGCCGGAGCCCGGCAGGTCGAGGCTGCGGTGGCCGGGAGCGGCCACTGCCCTCCAGTCTGGGCGACCGAGTGAGACTCCAACTCAAAAAAAAAAAACCCAAAAAACAAAAAACTCATGACTCGATACCCACAGCCCTCCGCTCTTAACTCATGGAATAGTTTACTTAATCAGCGTTGCAAAATTATACAAAGCTTCTTGCCCAAGACAAGCATGTGGGCCGGACGTGGTGCCTCACACCTGGGATCCCAGAACTTTGGGAGGACGAGGCAAGAGGACTGCTGGAGACTAGGAGTTCAAGATCAGCCTGGGCAACATAATGAGACTCATTTCCAAATATATATATATATATATATTTTTAAAAAATAATAAATAAAAGACAAGCATGTGTCCTTTCTCTTAAAGCATCCGTGCTCTCTCGACCGTGTCTTTTTCTTCCTAGTAAATTCTGTCTATCTATCCTTTGGACTCGCTCTAAAATTTTCTTCCGTGGCGAAGTCAAGAACCCAGGGAACAACTACACCCATGGCCCCCGACATCAACAGGGCCAGAAACGCCTAGAAGCTCGAGGCTTTCACTCCTTCTTGGAGGAGACTGGGAGATGGGGCCAGGGACTTACTTGGGAACTCGCACGACATACTCCGTGACATTCTGGCTGCCGGGGCCCTGCGGAGAGAGAAAGCCGATGGGGAGGGATGGCGCGGCTGCGGAGATCGCCTCCGGGACCCCCGAGCCCCACCTTATTCATACTTACTAGGGCCGCCATGAGCAAGTCAGTCGCTCGGATCGGGTCCGACCCGGATTCTTTTCGTCCCCGCCGGGATCCGCGTCCTTCGGTCGCTGGGAAGCGGCTTTCTCGGTGCAGGGTCTCCGGCCCTGCTAAGCGCAGCTTAGGAAAAGCTTAGGGCAAAGCTACCCGGAAGCGGCGTTCCGTCGGCTCTATCTGCGCCTGCGCCGCCGCCTAACCCGGAAGCGAAACTCTCGCGCGCCCGCGTCGCGAGGGCAACTTCCTCGGCGGCCACCACCGCGCTTTCCTTGACGCTCCTCCTGCCCCTTTCCACACGCGGCGAACCCAAGAGCAAGTCTAGGATAAACGAACCGACTCCTGGGGCTGGCACGCTCGTATACAGTTCGGTGAGGCACAAGTGGGAACGCCCTTTTAGTGACGTCACGCTCGAGGACCGCGAGGCATCCTGGGAGGGGCGGGAAAACGCTCCCTTCCCGGCGGCTGCCCGGGCGCCTTGCGCATGCGTGGTCTCGCTCCGGAAGTGAGTCCGGGAGGTCGGTCACCATAGCAACCGAGGCCTACTTTGTCGGGTCGTGCCGCCGCCCGGCTCCACCGGGGCCTGTTTGGGTGGGGTTCTTTGCCTCCCCTCTGTCCCGGGGTTGGACCCCATCATCCCGCAGCATGAACGGGGCCGGGGCCCTTGTGACGTTGAGCCGAGCCCGGAGAGGTCAGGGCCTGAGTGAGGAGGGGGCGCGACCACCCCAAGGGCTGCTGGCGCGTCCAAGCTGCCCCCGGACGGGCAGGCCCCTGAGGCCCCAGGAGAAGAGTAACATCCGGGGGAGAGGGAGGGAAACGGCGGAGCACTGGAGGGAGGCGCAGGCCCCCGTTCCACGCGTGCACACGCCCGCATCATGGCAGTCGCACAACTGCGCGTGCCCACGGCTCAGCCATTCATTGATGCCCTTGGGAAATACTCGAGCACCTGCCCGGTTCCGGGTCCTCTAGGGGAGTCTGTCCAACCAGCTCCCTGTTTTCTTGGGGATCACGGCGTAGAGGGGGGAGACAGACTCAAAACATGGGCACCTGAAGCCCAGGAGGGAACGGGAGCAGCACAGCGAGCTCTGAGGGTTCAGGGAAGACGGGAGGTTTCAACTGGACTCTGAGGGATGCATAGGAGTTGGCTGAGCACAAGGGGAGGAAATCTGGGCCATAGACTACAGCCTCTGCCAAATATGGAGGAAATGGAGTTCTGGGGCAGGAAGTAATAGGGTGGGAGGCTCTTTAGAGAGGTTATTCGAGAAGGCCTGATGGATGCTGGGGCCAGAAGGAACTGGACGGGGACAAGGATTTGCCAGGTGGAGGGAACAGCAATTAGGAATGAAGTCTGGCCGGGCTCGGTGGCTCAGCCTGTAATCCGTCGCCTTTGGGAGGCTGAGGTGAGTGGATTGCCTGAGCCTGCGGGTTTGAGACCCGCCTGGGCAGCGAGACCTCATCTCTACAATCAATCAAAAAATCAGCCGGGCGTGGTGGCGCATGCCTGTAATTCCGGCTACTCGGAAGGCTGAGGCGGAAGGATCGCCGGAGCCCGGCAGGTCGAGGCTGCGGTGGGCGGGAGCGGCCACTGCACTCCAGTCTGGGCGACCGAGTGAGACTCCGACTCAAAAAAAAAAAAAGGAATGAAGATTGTCGAGTTCAGGAACAGGAAGGAGGCCCCTGGGTCTGGGGCAGAGTGAAGGCGGGGCTGGAGGGGATGGGATGAGTCTGGGGGCATGATCAAGTCCCTCTCCCTCCCTGAGCCTCAGTTTCCTCATCTGTAAAATGGAATGATGGGGTCATTGGGATGTTTCAAGGACATGCCATGTGCAAAGGGCCCAGCTGCTCAAGCTCCCGTCTTCATCCTCAGCAACCCGCAGCAGCACCAACACACAGCATGCCTGGTGACACCCCTGGACACAGACACGTGCCCCCAGATGCCACCCTAGGGCAAAAGAGGGTATGCCAAGCAACCCGCGTACGACGTCACCGGAGGACGCAATCGCATCGGTGCCCACCAGCCTCTGCAGGCTCTATCCCGTCTTCCTCCCTCGCCCCTGGGTCCCACAGACATCATCTTCATGGTGGGCAGTCCAGGCTGCGGCAGGGGGACGCCGTGCAGGAACATGGCCATCAGGTATGGCTTCTGCCACCTGGAGCTGGGTCAGCTACTGTGGGAGGAGGCCCAAAGTGGCGCCCAGCGGGCCGGCAGATCCACAACTTCATGCTGCAGGGGCTCCTGGTGCCCACGGTGAGAGCTGACACGTGAGGGGACAGGGAGAAAGGGGGGATGTCGGGACAAACCACCCACGAACGCCCCATGGGAGCCAGTGCACCTGGAAGGCTGCCGCGCCTGGCCATGGCCTGGCTGTGCGGAGCCTCCATTTCCCTATCTGTGAAATGGGGAGACCACATCAAAAGGATGGCATTGTCCCTGTAAAGCATCAAGCAGTGTGCCTGGCATGGAAGACCCACGTAACAGGGAAACGCGCATTCTGTTTTGCAGAATGGAGGCTGCCCCGTTCATGAGTTGCAAATAAAAGCCAGTTAGATCTTTAAAAAAAAAAAAAAAAAAGCCGGGCTCGGTGGCTCAGCCTGTAATTCTGCGCCTTTGGGAGGCTGAGGTGAATGGATGGCCTGAGCCTGCGGATTCGAGACCTGCCTGGGCAGCGAGACCTCATCTCTACAATAAATCGAAAAATCAGCCGGGCGTGGTAGCGCATACCTGTAATTCCGGCTACTCGGAAGGCTGAGGCGGAAGGATCGCCGGAGTCCAGCAGGCGAGGCTGCGGTGGCCGGGAGCGGCCACTGCACTCCAGTCTGAGCGACCGAGTGAGACTCCAACTCAAAAATAAAAATAAAAATAAAATCACTTGACCAGACACAGTGGCTCAAGCCTGTAATCACAGCACTTTGGTAGGCCAAGACAAGAGAATTGCCTGAGCTCAGGGGTTCAAGACCAACCTGGGCAACTTAGTAAGACCTCATCTCTACAAAAAAATTTAAAAACCGGGCGTGGTAGCGTGCGCCTGTAGTTCCGGCTACATGGAAGGCTGAGGCGGAAGGATCACCGGAGTCCAGCAAGTCGAGGCTGTCGTGGCCATGAGTGCGCCACTGCACTCCAGCCTGAGTGACGGAGTGAGACTCTGACTCAAAAAAAAAAAAAAATCACTCAATAAAATTAGCTTGCGTTTATCTCCTTGTGACCCTGTGGTTATCACCAGCCCCTTCTGACGCTGCTTCCTCACCTGTAAAATGAAGGGAACCCCAAGACCTGCCTCGTAATGTAGTGGTGACAATTAAGTGACTCCCAGCACCTGGTAGATAGCCACCCAATGAACCCCTGACATGCCCAGTTCTCAAGGCAGGTTCTCTAGAGCATCAGAGCCGACCAGAATCCAACTCGGGCACTCAGTGGGGTGTTGTCATTCTGTCTGCATCTGAATTTGCCAGAGTGACCCACAGAGAAACAGGCTTCCCCAGGGTGAGGGGCGTGGGAGAATGAGGAACCCCCAAGTGCTGAACCACCCCGTTCCTTCCCAGGGCATTGTCCTAGATAGGGTCAGTGACAACATGCTGTCCCACCCAGAGAGCCGGGGCTTTCTCGTCGATGGCTTCCCCCGGGAACTGAAGCAGGCCGAGGAGTTTGAGCGCATCGTGAGTGGCCCCTAAGTGCATGAGTGTGTGCGTGTCAAGGCGTGGGGCCATGTCTTGTGTAAGGCTGCGATGGCTGGAGACCAGAGGGGCTGAGACCTGCAGGAGAGGAGGGAAGTGGAGTTTTCTTGGTTTGGAGGGAGGGGGACAGGTTCTCGGTCTGTCCCCCAGGCTGGATGCGGCGGTGCAATCACATCTCGTTGCATTGACCTCCTGGACTCAAGCAATCCTCCTGAGTAGCTGGGAGTATAGGCGTGCACCACCACACCTGGCTAATTTTTTTTGTGGAGATGAGGTCTCTCTATGTTGCCCAGGCTGGTTTTGAACTCCCAGCCTCAAGTGATGCTCCCGAATAGCTAGGGTTGTGTGTACCACCGCGCCCAGCCAGGAAGTGGAGTTTTCTTTTTCTTTTTTTTTTTTTTTTGACTTGGAGTCTCACTCTGTCACCCAGACTGGAGTGCAGTG